ACTGTAGTCATCCTCCTCCCTCTTCCACTTCCCTCCTGCCAAGGAAGAGGTGGGGGGTAGCACGCAGGGAGTCAAACACAACTGTGTGCCTTTCAGCTATTTATGGTAAATTGACCATGTTAATAATGTGGGGGTGAGGGCTGGATGATAACAGTCAGGTTTGCTCTTTGTCAGCAGGCCAATTACTGCACAATTATTTCTGCTTTTTGGGAGCTATGTGGCCTTTTGCATTGTCAGAGGCTTGGAGTGTTTGGCTCTCACTCACAGAAAAGCCTTCCAGACTTGCTGTGTTCTAAAGGGCTGTCATTCAGTGGCCTTTAATGTTACTTTTTGTTAGAAGCCATCCACACACCCTGTTTTGAAGTGTTGAGGTCAATAAGGATATTTCAGCACAAACAGTACCAACTTATGACGTTTGGGCACCAGAGGTACATTTCTTTTGCTAGTATTCTTAAAGAAAATTGGGATTCTGTAACAGCGAATTCTGGCTGCAGCTTTGCAACTGAAATTAGAAATATTCGAAAAGAGAAAGACTACAAATCTTGGGGATTAGAATTGTACTTTCTGTAACTGAGAACTTTAGGGAAATGAGTATGTGAGAGGAGATTGTCAATTCCACCGAGACTCATGACCGAACCTTAGTTCTCTGTTTTCCTTCTGCCAGAAATCTTGTAAGATTGGTAGTTCTTCTGTGGAGACACTTTCTGAGGATCTGCTACTATTAAATAGATTTACTTCACTGGAATCTCATCTGGAGATGGAAAAGGAAGTTTTACTCTCAAGTTTATCTGCAACCAGCCCAGAGTAACAGGAGATTTGTTTCCAGATCCGCAAAGGCCTTTGCATAGGAGCGGGGACTTAGTAACGTATGATAATGTATTAAACAAGAGGGGTTTTTCCCCTCTAATGAGCTGATTTTAATTTCAAAAACTCTTGACTTGGCTTTAAAAATATGTCTAATTGGGGAGCTAAATTAGAATTGATTTCCCAGCAAGTTTTAAAGGTACAAGCTCCAAAATAAGAGATTTGTGGAGGTTGCTCCCTTTTCATCCGGCTTGAGGCCTAAGGTATCCCGCCAGTGAAAGATAAATAGCACAACTTCATTAACTTTGCAAAGAGATCAAGTAGTGATTCATATTGGCCATCCTTAACTAAATCAAAACAGGTGACTAAAACGTGGGGCAATTAGATGTTCTTTGAGTCGACTGTTAAAGTTCCCTCTAAGTGAAATCCAGTTGACTGCACATGAATACCTGCCCTCTGTGGATCACTACAAAAGAATTGTTCTTTCTTTCAGCACATCAAAACACTTTCATTATTGTTGAACTGTAGTAAAAAAAAAAAATCCAGGAGTTATGATATTAAAATTACACGGCTATTCAGGAATACCAATCTTCATAGACTAATTCATTACTCTTGTGCTATGCCTGACAGGAGAAATGTTAATCTCAATGAGCCCAACAAATTGGCTCCTGTTGAAATTTTTAACAAAACCAGGAAATCTTCAAAAGCTCATATTGAAGGTGTTAAAGGAGCTCCTGGATGAATGGAAGCAACTTAAGATGTCTTTGAACGGAATTCATTCTTCTTACCAACATATCCTTCATGAGGTGGAGGGTTGTTTTGTATCACACTCCTGCTCTTAAATCTGTTGCAGAGCCAGTTCCTTTTGGGAGTGTATTGAACTCTGAGAAGACATGAGCTTGCCCAGTCTTACTTGCCTATAGCTCTGTAACTCCAAGTTCTTGCTCCTCAGATCACTCAGCTAATTAGCAGTATAGCCACAACTAAGGGGGAAAGATTGCCAAGATGATGGGCCTGACTGAGTCTGAAATTGACTTCAGATCCACCAAAGTACTCAAAAATGGCTCATCAGCAAAGCTCCATGGCCCAAAGAGTTGGCTGAACTTTCAGTCCAAAGGACAATTCTTGGCCATTTTAGAATAGTTGCAATAAAAGTCTTCAAGTCCTGTGTGAGACCCAGTCTCCTTCATTGATGCCAAGCAATTCAGAACAGGGGTCTCCTGATGATTTTAGATCATTACTGATGGATGAACAGAAAAATGTGGCTGACAGATCGGAAGGAGCTACATTAAAATCTAGCAATATCATTAAGGCCTCAGATTGGAACTTTCTTAAGGAAGTGTTGCATTTGAAATCAGATCCATTGCCAAGTTCACAAAATCCTCCTATCTATCTCCTAGACGCCATATTTAAGATTTTGACTAAAGCTGATGTCCATAGTATGAGCAATGCTAAGTCCAACCTAATAACTTTGTCTCTGGCTAATGTGGTTAACTCTAGAAAATGGCTGTATCCAGCAAAACCTAACTGAAATTGTGACCACAAGTGACTTAGAAATTCTCCAGGCATCAGATTTCTTGCTTGGAATATTGTTGGATGGAGCAGAAGGGGAACCAACCCTAGTTTAATTTTTTATTTGAGAAATTTTGGGCTTGTTTTACTGCAGAAAACATGGACATCTAATGAAACAACTTTTAAAGAAAATGTGATCTGTATAAGAACATTGCCTCATGCCATTAATTAGGGTGAGGTTTGCACTGGAGAGGTTCCTGGTGGACAGACTCTACTCCCTGTTAATGGTACCCTAAATCTGACACCATAATCTGTTTCAGAATGAAGCAACATCTGTGCACTGAATAAAAACAGATGATAAGTTATATCAACATACAGTTCAACAAAATTATGTTTGAGTTATGCCCAGCTTCCTGCACAGCAGTATAAATACACAGAGGCTTCAAAGTACAGATGGAAAACTTCTAAGATTTAAGAATGGATCTGGATCCATCTGGATCTTAGTTTATTCGATGCTTTGACCATAGGTCTTTCACATATAAGGCAAGGCAGATAAATAAATACATAAACACCAAATTATTAAATACAATATAAAATACACAATAAAATCCTATAAATCATTAAAATGCTACATATATTGATGGCAAGATGCACCTTTAAAATACTACATAATGTATAGACTCATACCTGCATAATTAAAAACCAAGTAAAAGCAAATAGATACAGCATTATTAAAACTATATAAACAGCCACTATTAGATAGATGAGAGCATCCCTAGCACAGTCAACTGCAATATCAGATATTAGTTTTGCCCGGATTTTCTGTGCTGCCAGGGCAAAAAGAGACACCTTATGAGTAACCACGGGATTAATGTCAGCCAAGAGATAGAAAATCTTTGCGGACACAGTGTTGGTCTGAAGGAGGTGAAGAATAAACCCCAGGATGTTGGTTCTTGGTTCAGAATACAAAGGGCAGAAAAGCAAATAGTGAGGCAGATCCTCAATTTCCGGGGGCCCTCAAACACATAAACGAAGAGCCAGAGGTGTGCCCGTATATCTGCCATCAATTACTGCTGTGAGCATACTTTGAAAATGAAGGGCTGTGAAGGCTTGTCTAAGTTTTGGAAATGTGAGCCTAATCAGGTAGATAGCCCTATCATGGTCAAGTTTGTACAGTCTAAACCAGTGGGAGAATTTGGAGTTGTTAATGGCCTGCCTATCATGGTGGGCACAATTATTAAAAATACAGGGTTAGTCAAAATGAATAGGCCAATAAGAAAATTAATTTTAGACGAATGTATGTTTACTGTAACCAAACCACAGCTACGTAGCAACAGATAAACTATCAAAGTTTTTTTTGAGCAACACACATGTACGTTAATGCCGCTAGGCGTCGCTAGGGGTCGCTGTTTTCAAAATGGCGGAATCAAGCAAAGAGAAGGCGTTTTGTGTGGTGACATTTGCTAAAACAATGTCAGTAATTACGGTCCAGCGAGAATTTCAAGGGTTAGGGTTAGGGTTAGGGTTAGGGTTAGGGTTAGGGTTAGGGTTAGGGATAGGGATAGGGTTAGGGATAGGGTTAGGGTTAGGGTTAGGGTTAGGGTTAGGACCTCAACGAACGCCTTCCCAGACGTTGCTGCATTCGATGCCATTACGTCGGATGTGCTGCAACGGATGTGGAATGAACTGGACTATCGCTTGGACATCTGCCGTGTCACACGGGGCGCCCATATCGAACATCTCTGAAGGTGAGACAAAACTTTGATAGTTTATCTGTCGCTACGTAGCTGTAGTTTGGTTACAATAAACATACATTCGTCTAAAATTAATTTTCTTATTGGCCTATTCATTTTGACTAACCCTGTATATTCATGGAGCTTCTCCCTTGAGTTCAAGATAGAAGGCTTATCAGACAGAGTGGATCTTAAGCAGAGTTTATCATAGACAATTTTGCTGCCTGAGACAGAGCAACCAGTGTATCCATTGTGCAGGTGAACAATACTCAATCCAGACACGTTATTTTGGCACATGAAAGTGAAAATTCCTTTTCCAACCATTTCTCCCTCTCAATGACAATAAAAATACAACCACCAATTAAATAAACTATTTGTGGCTCTTTCATTATACTGCAGATTTGCTGCCTTAAGCTTACCCGACTCTGCCTAATGATAGGATTATTCCTGATCCTGTGGTGCTCAAAGAGCTAGAAACCCCCCTCTGAATTTGGAGGGGGGGTGACTGGGATGGAGTGACAATATCTCCATTTTTGACATTAGGGTAGCTAAAATTTGGGTGGATCCCATGCTTTTTGCACAAGAGACCCCACACAGTACTTGCCACTTCTGGTCAGGTGGAGAGTGACTTCGAGATGCGGGTCAGGAGATTGCTTGCCAACACCCCCTCTAAAAGTCAGAGCATAGCTTGGGTGGACCAAAAAGGAAGGAACCATGGCAGCCGTTCAGTTCTGCCTTCATATCCAGCTTTGTCATGAAACAATCTAATGTGTTTGCTTAAGGCATTTAATTCCCAAAGGATGTGTTATTTTCCTACCTTCTATTTCGAAGCCTGTCTTTAACACAGCCTTCTCATGATCTGAACAGGTAAGTTGTGGGAGGGTGATTGAGTATCCTTTTCCTTTTTTCCCTTCAAGTGTTTATATTGAAGTGTACTCTTCTCTTTCTCAGGTCACTGAAACCAGGACGGGGCCACTTGGCTGCAGTAACTATGACAACCTGGATTCTGTGAGCTCTGTTCTTGTTCAGAGCCCTGAGAACAAAGTTCAACTACTTGGTAAGAGTGCTCCCTATTCACCTGCCCTTGGGTGCATCTGAGTGACTCACTGAACACTAACAGGACCCGTCTTCTAATTGGTACAAGGGTCACAGGGGCAGGGCTTATATACTGCTGCAAAGAAATATGGACAGTAATCTATAGTGTCGCTTGCTCTAAGAAACCAGACCGATGGTTTTAAATGTGATTAGTGAGAGACATCATTGTGCCAGGTAATCTCCTGCTATGATCACTAACTTCACTCCATTTCCTAGGAAACTATATGACCAAGAGCCTCAGAAAGAACCTGAATTAGATCATGGTAATTACTTCCTTACTGTGGTTAAAACTTTATGTCCAGCTATTACAGTTAGCACTCTTTTCTGACTGAATACAGTTTTCATATAGGAATGCACTCATATTGGTATGCACTTACATGTTCATGATCCAGTGCTGCCCCTCAACCACATCCAATCTAGCTCTAATGGTGGCTTTACTGTACGTCAACTGGGTCATGCATGCTCCTGTATATCAAGTGGCTGCTTGGTTCAATCCCATGACTGCACCCAGAAAAATAAAAATATTTGGTTAGGTATATCATTTCAGTGATAATTCTTCTAGGTTTTCCAATGCAGCATTGTAAATTGAAAGATTGTGGTCACCGTGTCTTGACTTGTAATGTTCATAAGTGATGAAGATGATGTACATTCCCACAAAGGTGCAGATAATGTACCGAAGTTAACAGAATCGCCAAGAGATTTGTACACTTGTACATTTAATGTACATTTGTACATTTAACCGCTGGGAGAGGTCATCTGGAGTTTTGGAGTACAGTGCCATCTCTACGCAGATGACACCCAACTCCACTACTCATTTCCATCTGACTCCAAAGAAGCCCTGAGGATACTGGACCAATACCTGGCTGCTGTGATGAGCTGGGTGAGGACGAACAAGCTGAGGATCAATCCTGACAAGACAGAGGTCCTCCAGGTCAGTTGCCCATCTGACCGGGGTATTGGGTGGCAACCTGTGCTGGACGGGGTTGCACTCCTCCTGAAGTCACAGGTCTGCAGTTTGGGGGTTCTCCTGAACTCAGTGCTGACTCTTGAAGTTCAAGTGTCAGCATTAGCTGGGAGAACCTTCACACAATTAAAACTCGTGCGCCAACTGCGGCTATACCTCGTGAAGTCTGACTTGACCATGGTGGTCCATGCCTTAGTTACCTCTAGACTGGATTACTGCAATGCACTCTACATGGGGCTACCCTTGGAGATGGCCCGGAAACTACAACTTGTCCAATGGTCGGCAGCCAGATTAATAACTAGGGCAAATTACAGGGAGTGGTCAATCCCCCTGTTTAAGGAGCTCCATTTGCTGCCATTCATTTTCCGGTCCCAATTCAAGGAACAGGTTCTTACCTATAAAGCCCTAAATGGTTTGGGACCTGCCTACCTTCATGATCGTATCTATCTCCATGAACCAGCCCGAACTCTTCGATCTTCGGGGAGGGGGGGCTCCTTTCGCCCTTGCCAGTTTCTCAGGCTCGCCTTGTGAGTACAAGGGAGAGAGCCTTCTCCTCTGTGGCCCCCCTGACTCTGGAACTCATTGCCCGGAGAGATTAGGAAAGCCCCTATCTTAGAAATCTTTAAAAAGAATCTCAAAACCTGGCTCTTCCGCTGCGCCTTTGGTGAATAGGTATTCAATCCCACATTATTGCTCATTTGCAATGCTCTGTCATTGGAGTATACATCCCCCCCCCCCCCGTGGGAAAGCTGATTCCACAATCCCCACTATAATGAGCCCTCCTCTGCAAATAATTTGTTTTTCTTTTATCTCACCCGAGTTTTTAACTAGTTTTAACTAGTTCCTCTTTTAACCATTACATGTAGCCCACCCATTGTCACTGTGTTTGTGTTTACTGTAATTTTATATTGTTATGTGTTCACATGTTTTATGTAATTATGATGTCATTGTTTATTGTTCGTGTTTTCGGTTTGTGTTTTCGGTTTCTCTTTATTGTAATTGTTGTTTGGGTTTGGCCTCATGTAAGCTGCTCTGAGTCCCCATCGGGGAGATGGCGGGGTATAAATAAAGATTATTATTATTATTATTATTATTATTATTATTATTATTGGAATGGAATATGAATTCATCAGAAATGTTAGTTACATTATCCCATTAATATGTTCTGCCTCCTCATATGTTTTGTACACTCATCAAGGAGAACGGAGTCCTCAAGGAAAGAATGCTCACATTTTATAGGTAGTGTGTACACTCCCAACTGATGCCATCCATACTGGAGAATTAAGCATATTAACACAAATTTCTGTGTTAGTCACATATGGTTTGAGGAGAGGAGGACAGCTAGCATTGCAACAGTCCCTTCCTTTAAATCAGGCATGGGCAAACTTCGGCCCTCCAGATGTTTTGGACTTTAGCTCCCACAATTCCTAACAGCCAAAGTTTGCCCATGCCTTCTTTAGGTCCTTTAATGCTCAAGAAACATTCTTCATAATAAGGAAGAATCCCAGAGTCTTCACTGATGCAGCAGCAACAACTGCAAAACAAACAAAATCATTACAGATACAGAAGCACACAGAGGTCTTCAAAACAAACACACAACTCTGCAACAAGAGACTTGGAATGAGTCAGAGACGAAACCATTATGGCAAAACAATCACCGCTGAAGCTTTCCTCTTAGCAGGACCTCAGGATTATGAGGTCCCTTGCGACAAATGCATTCACAGCTGGCAGTGGCTTGCAGGCAAAGCAGAGGAAATGCATCTGTGTTGCTGCCAAACAGATACCTCCAAGCACTGCTAGAGGCTGCCACAGCTTTTTTCCCCCTCGCCTCACAAGCAGCAAGCATCAGAAACTCCCTTTCCATCATCTAGAAAGCCTTGGCTTGAAGGAGCTGATGATTACAAGTAGTGCCAATAAGCTGCTCTAAAGTTACTCAGTCCTCCTGACTTTTCTACAGCCTCACTATCAGACTCCCATCCCTACCCGTTGTCGTGCTGTTAGCATCATTTGACACAATTAGATGAGAAAGAATGACTGAAGGCATCAAAAGCTCAGTTGCATACTCATATCTGTAACACAATCTGTCACTTGTGAGATAACGTAAGGAAAGAATTGGCAGTGGCCAAAACAAACTCACCTTGCAGCCCTTGCATTCAAAATGATGGTTTCCACTTTAGGAAGAAGGTATATAGGGAGAAAGGTAAGAAAGTTTGGGTAATGAAACTTGAATAGGTGTTTTAAAAACCAATATATGTGGTTCAGCTGTTTGGCAGCCTTCACTTTATTCCTTCTTCAGTTTTCAGATGATCCCTTAATATCCTGGTGGTCCTACTGCTATGGCAGAGGAAGAAGCCGAATCTGTACATCCATCAACACCTGTGTACTTATTTATTTACTATTTTCTACTCCACTCTTCTCATTCTGAAGAGGACTCAGAGAGGCTTACAGTTATAGCAAAATTCAATGCTGCATTATAAATACAATAAACAGATACAACACATTAAGCAATGAAACCAATAAAACAAATAGACACAATTAAAACAGATTAAAACATAATTAAAACATAATGCCTAGTCTATCTGTTGGCATATTTTATCTTTTTTCTCAGATTTGTCAGCCACGGGTTGCCAAGAAAAGGAATAGTCTGGTACTATACATAGCGAAGACCTAGCCTCACTCCTTCAGGATTATTGTGTTTTAGTAACACACAAGTTGATTCCCACTGAGGAAACAGAATTCCAGTCTTGACCTACTGTGAATTTCTGTTCATCTGGAACAGTACCAGCCTAGGTAGCATTGTAACGTCTTATTTCCAATTCCCAATTTTCCAGCTTTAACAGCTTGCTGGAGGGCCTCAGTCTTTCTCATTCACACCCCCCCACACACACACACACACCCTAAACATTCTTTCCATTTGGCCTCCATATTTTCTCTTTAGACTCTTCATGGGAACAAATGGGAATATATTTTTATTGGATTACGAATTGGACTTGATGGTTGTCCTTTGACGCGAGTGCTTCTTCCATAGCAATGTCTAAGGGTCAAGAGAGGAGAATCTTCTCTACCTCCTGTTTATAGAAAAGGAGACTGCCTTCTCAGCCTCTAAGCCAGGTATGGGCACACTTCGGCCCTCCAGGTGTTTTGGGCTTCAACTTCCAGATATCCCAGCCATTTTACCAGCTGTTAGGAATTGTGGAGTTGGAAGTCCGAAACATCTGGAAGACTGAAGTTTGCCCATGCCAGCTAAGATGTCAGTACTTTCTTTGAGAAGAACTTAAATGAATAGTAAGATCAGACAGGGCCGTAGCCAGAAAAATTTTTTGGGGAGGGTTGAAATTTTTTTTTGGGGGGGGGGGGGGGGGGGTTGAAATTTTGGGGGGAGGGGGTTGAAAATTTCGGGGAGGGGGGTTGAAACCTGCCTCTTAGCTCATGCTGAAGCAAAGAGCACAGCAGGGGCAGAGCAGCCTTCAATAGCCTGCAGCTCCGCCCCTGTCAACCACCCCCACCAAGTCTGGCCTCCTTAATGAGAGCATTCAACACCCCCCCCCCCCCAACTTGGTTGCTTCACTACATCAGCTATTGCTGCAAGTAATGACAGTGTGAATAAATTGTCGATATTTGCTTGAGATAGTGCTTGCAGTTCTGGAAGGACTCTTAATTTTTTGTGTCTCATAGACTTAGCATGGGATTTGGTTAACCAGTTAAAATTCATGAGTAAACCAGGTTTATTTTTTTAACCTGAAAATTTTCAAGGGGGGGGGGGTTGAACCCCTAACCCCTCCCCCTCGCTACAGGCCTGAGATCAGAACCTCTGTTACACTGAGATTCAGGCAAATGCCTTATCTAGATCAGTATTGCCCTTGTTCACAGAAGTAATCCAAGGTTTCAGGCAGCGAAACTTTTTTCTAGCTCAGTGGTTCTCAACCTGGGGTCCCCAGATGTTTTTGGCCTACAACTTCCAGAAATCCCAGCTAGTTTACCATTGTCAGGTTTTCTGGGAGTTGTAGGCCAAAAACATCTGGGGACCCCAGGTTGAGAACCACTGTTCTAGCTCTTCCACCTAAAGTCTCTTGAACTAGAGATGCTAGAGATTGTGACTGACCATGTACATGAAAAGTATGTGCTTTGTCAAGGAGACAGGAGCCTCCACTTTCTGCGCATTCCCCCACCCTGTCTTGATGTTTTCATAAGTACTACTGTTTATGCACCTTCTCCAGTTATGTCATATTAAACACAGCATTTGGACACATTCATGTTTTACACATCCAAAGCAACTGAGTTCACAAGCAGTTTTAAAGATTTGTCCTTAAAAGGACTAATCTTACAAAGGGACCCAAGTTTCCCTTTATAATGGAACCAAATTTCCAAAGTTCCCATTTGTCTTTTATGCAGTCACTGAACCGAAACTTATAACAACTCTACATCCTTTTGGCAGGTCTGCAAGCACTGTTGCCAGAGCATCTGCGAGAACGTTTTGTGGCTGCTGCCTTGAGCTACATCACTTGCAATTCAGAGGGGGAGCTGGCCTGCCGAGAGAATGACTGCTGGTGCCAATGTGGGTCTCATTTCGCACAATGTAACTGCCCTGAGGCTGACATCCGGACTGTGGAAGAGAGTCTTCTCCAGATTCAGGAAGCTTGGGACACTCACAATCAGCAGTTTCAGGTATCAGGTGAGTTTGGGAAATGCATCCATTTACCCCTAGCATTGATGTTAGGTAAACATGGCATAGAAATGACATTTTTAGCACAATGAACTTATTTGAAAGCAAGAGAAAACACAAAGCGTACCATTCCAGGGCTAAAGACTTTAGCAATCCAAAGAGTAGTGATAAAGCCATTGGTTTATCTTTCCAAATGTTCACTTTATGATCTTCTACATCAAAATCAGACACACACACACACACATATACACACACATATCTTCTTATAAAATGGACAATGACATCTCGAGGTAGATTTCTTTGAATTGCAATTTTTGAATGGATTCTGTACAGGATAAAAATAAAAGGTAAAATGTAAAAAAGAGTAAAATTAAGCCCCAAAAGTTCAAAAAAAGTTCATAAATATCAATCAAGATAATGCAAAATGCAAAAAACCCCCCCAAAAACTATGATATAAATGAAAACATGTTTAAACCTTAATAACAATGTAAGAAGTGAAAATAAAAAAATCACAAAAAGTCAAAATGAAATATGGAAATATGTAAGATATATCTGTGAAATTGTATAAAAGTTCTAGAAGGTCTAGGTGTTATATTATAACAAGTTCAAAATATTTTTAATAAATAGGTATCCCTCCCTCAAATTAGATAAAAGAGAAAAAGGGTGATCAAACTGCCAAAAATCCTGACAAAAATTGAATCATAGACAATATGTGAAAAAAGGAGGGAAAGAAGTCTAAATATTGGGAAACGAAAAGCAAAAGGCAGTAGCTGTAAAAATACGAGAACATAAAATGTGTGTCTTCTCTAAATTAAACAATATTGAAAGAACTGAACATGGAATAATTAAGAAACGATTAAATAATCTAATTAACATGAAAGACAACTATACATTTTATGAAATGCAGGCGCTAATATCAATGTCTTATAAATTAATGTGTTATTCCTGAATATTTGTAGATCCTTAATTAAGATATATAGCTATAAATTAAGGATTTTCTCTGTTTTAAGATAGTGAAAGAAAGATATTAGCAAATATTCATTATTTTTAATATTTCTAATGTATATTTGAAGCTTAATGTAAAAGAGAATAAAGATAGTTTAAGGAATGCAGAGTAGTGAATTCCTCAAACTACTTTGTGAATGTATAATGTATTGTAATAGAAGAGTTTTTAAGTAAAAACATCAGAGTGTAAAAATCTTCAAAGGGAGTAGATATGTGAGATTATTCTTAAATTAAAATTTCTGTCCTCTTGCTCTTCCTAATTGTACATAGCTCTTTGTTTATTCAGCTGTGTCCTTGATAGTGAGGTATACACAAAGCAAAGCAAGATTCTCTGCAATCTACTCAAGTAAGCTGTTTTGCTTTTCACCTTTTAAAGCTTCGATTTATACAATTGCAACTCTGCAAACCATGTATTGTGCTTTCAAATAAAGTTTTCTTCTAACTCCATATTATGCTGATTTTAATATATAATGGTCATCCAAAAACAGTCAACCATGTAAAGAGAATATTCTCTTCAATATTTATCTTCATCGCATTTATAGTCACAAAAAAACCCCAGACAAATGCCTAGAGCTAAACACTACCAATATCTCTCAGGGATTATTTTATTTTCAAAACAACCTGAGATGTGCAAAAAAAAGATAGGGAAAGAAAAAAAGAAATTTTCTTTCCCTATGCTTCAGTCTTTTCTTCTTCTTCTCTAGATTATTTCTTTATTCCCATTATTTATGTTGCTCGTAGGGTCGAAGAAGAATTTAATGTAATTTAGTCTTCTACCTCAAAGGACACCCATATGTTGTTTTTTGTTGTTGTTTGCGTTCTTTTGGGGAGTCTGCTTTGAATGTTCCCAAGGCAGCTGCTTTGTTGCACTTTAAACGCTGTGCAGTTTGATGTTTTCCATGGCCCCCCACTGACAGTACATGTAAATTGGTACACTGAAGCAGATTCTTGGGGCTCAGCCTGGTGCTCTATGACTCCTCTATGCTGAGGGAACATTTCCTTCTGTTCAACAGTGGCTGTTTTTCAGTATCCACCATTTTTGCTTCCTTTTCTCAGAGGGTTACAAGAAGAGGACCTCAGTCCTCTGCAGCCAGATTGGAAGTCTATACTTGCATAATGTTACTTTCATGTGCAGATTCTCATAGCTGGATAAGGATGAAAATTATACTGAATTTTAACAAATATGTAAATCAGGACATTAATGGAAAAGTATACTTTATTTGTTGGAGCCTCCAGCAGATAAAACCGCTGAGCTGCTGAACTTGCTGACGGAAAGGTGGGCAGTTCAAATCTGGGGAGTGGAATGAGTTCCCACTGTTAGGCCCAGCTTCTGCCAACCTAGAAGTTTAAAAATATGCTAATGTGAGTAGATCGGTAGGTACCACTTTAGTGGGAAGGTAACAGCACTCCATGCAGTCATGCCAACTACATGACCTTGGAGATGTCTATAGACAACGCTGGCTCTTTGGCTTAGAAATGGAGATGAGCACCACCCCACAGAGTTGGACACAACTAGATTTAATGTCAAGGGGAAACCTTAACCTTTACCTTTTAACAGGTCAATTATATAAATTCTCTTGAATTTATTTATTTGTTTATTTGTCGTGTCAGGGCAACCAGTCAATTATATTACATTTCTAACAGAAACAAAGCAAACAGACAAAATACAAAATTTGTGAGTTTGGTAGTTGATTACATGTCCTTTGACCAGTAGCTGGCCACTTGGAGTGCTTCTGGTGTTGCTGCAAGAAGGTCCTCCATTGTGCATGTGGCAGGGCTCAGGTTGCGTTGCAGCAGGTGGTCAGTGGTTTGCTCCTCTCCACACTCGCATGTTGTGGATTCCACTTTGTAGCCCCATTTCTTGAGGTTGGCTCTGCATTTTGTGGTGCCAGAGCGCAGTCTGTTCAGCGCCTTCAAGTCGCCCAGTTTTCTGTGTGCCCAGGGGGGAGTCTCTCATTTGGTATCAGCCATTGATTGAGGTTTTGGGTTTGAGCCTGCCACTTTTGGACTCTCGCTTGCTGAGGTGTTCCAGCGAGTGTCTCTGTAGATCTTAAAAAACTATTTCTAGATTTAAGTCGTTGATGTGCTAGCTGATACTCAAACAAGGGATGAGCTGGAAATGTCTCTGCTTTGGTCCTTTCACTATTGGCTGCTACTTCCTGGCGGATGTCAGGTGGTGCAATACCGGCTAAGCAGTGTAATTTCTCCAGTGGTGTAGGGCGCAGACACCCCGTGATAATGCGGCATGTCTCATTAAGAGCACATCCACTGTTTTAGGGATTCACTTGAATGTAAAGTATATACATAATACAAAATGTATGAATACTTTATTTGGAAACATCTGAAAATTAATCAATTTTCTCATTTAAAATAGGGACACTACATTTTTATGTCTAAACAGTTTTAATTTTAGAAGCAGCAAGATGAAAAATTGCAGTCTTAAAGGAACAGGCCCTTGAGAGAAGTGAATAGAAGAAACTGTGGCTAAGATTAAGGTTATAGCTATGTGCTCTTTTAAATTAGAAGCATTTCCCCAAATTTGTGTGCAAACCTATCAGATCCTGTGAGGGTGTTCAACCAATGAGGTCAGTGGATGACTGCCTCTTCATTATTTATTTTTTGTTTTTTTACATTTCTACCCCACCTTTCTCCACCCCGAAGAGGACTCAAGGTGGCTTACACTTAGGCAACTATTTTATGCCTTCCAAAACGATGTACAGTTAAACATTTAAATAGAATTATAAAATACATTAAAACAATTAAACATATAAAACAATGTCTGCAGTGTTAAACACATTAATCTCTTGGGCACCTTCCTCACATATTAGAGGCAGCATATGAATTGTTCATCTCACTTCCCTTCAAATGTTGAGAAGCACTGGCAGTGCTTTCTTTGGAGGGGAAATAAGACTAAACGGGATTTGCAGAGAGAACCAGTAATGGGGATGAACCTTGTCTTGGGCCCCTTCCACATAGCTGAATAAAATCCCACATTATCTGCTTTGAACTGGAATATATGACAGTGTGGACTCGGATAACTCAGTTTAAAGCAGATATTGTGGGATTTTCTGCCTTGATCTCCTGGGTTATGTTGCTATGTGGAAGGGCCCTTGTTAGTGCCCATGTTCTCTGCAACAGGACTGACTGAATGATACAACTGTTTCAGTAAAGAAATTAATCAGGGAATACGTTTTTGCCAATCAAAATTGACTCTATGTATAAGCCTTCATGTCACCTTTCTACTAGGCTTGTGCATTTGGGGTGAATCGCTTTCAGTTTCTGCTTACTTGTTTGGAAGCCCCTTATATCTGTTTTCCAGTGCCTCCTGGAAATGGGGTGTGCTGGCGAATGGAGTTTTCATTCAGCATCCGATGGGGTTAAGAAAGCACCCATTTTTTGGTGGGGGGGGGGACTTCCCACAGGCTCCCCTTCCATATCCTTAATTAAGACCTGGATTTTAAAAAGCATCAGAGGATCCTTTCTCTTTGTAGAGAAGAAGACTGTGTTCAAGCCTTCTTAAAGCTGTTTTACTCTAGAGCAGAGGCAGCGGACACAGCTTGGTTTTGAGGCTCCTGCTGCGCTGGGTCCATCTCCCCAAGAGAGAGGCTGAGAGAAGGAGGAGGGATCATAGAGTTGAAAGAGACCTCATGGACCATCCAGTCCAACCTCCTGCGAAGAAGCAGGAAAATTGCATTCAAAGCACCCCTGACCGAAGGCCATCCAGCCTCTATTTAAAAGCCTCCAAAGAAGGAGCCTTCACCACATCCTGGGGCAGAGAGTTCCACTGCTGAACAGCTCTCACAGTCAGGAAGCTCTTTCTAATGTTCAGATGGAATCTCCTTTCTTGTAGTTTAAAGCCATTGCTCTGCTCCTTGGCCCTTCACTTAGCCTTGGTCCCGCCACTTCCACTATTGCAAGCTGGAAGCCTGGCAGTTGCTGCTGCTAAAGTTTTCCATGCTGGTGGTGAAGGAGGAGGAAGCTGGACCTGCGAGAGTTAAAAGATATCCCTTTTTCTAGGACAGTTTGTTTGTTCTTATCCAGCATGGAAAGAGAAGCTGAGGGATGGGGTGGGGGAGCTCCTTGGCCCTTGGCTGTGCATTTCAAGGAGGCCCACGGAAGGAAGAGCCAATGACCTGGAGCTCAGTTGAGCTAGGAGTGCTGCGTGGTCATGAAAGCTCCTGCTCGCTTTCATTTCAAGTTGATTTTTGTACTGGGAGGGGACTTCCCATTCGATGTTCCCAAAGTGAACGAAAGAATGGACGAAACGGGAGAAATGAATTCCGTGGACAACTCTACTTCCTACTTATGGCAGCCCTATGAACTTCACAGTAATTTCTCATACACGTAATCCTCAGAGATGATTTTACCGGTTTCTTCCAAATAAATATAACCTATAGCACTTGGTTTTCATTGACATTCTCCCTTCAAAGTAATAACCAGGACTGGCCCAGTTTAGCTTCCAAAATCAGGTGGGATCTGGTGCCTGTAGGGTATAGATGGAGGCAAAAGACAAGTGTTGGCACTTTTCTACTTCAAAAGGATGGGGCTCTACTGGAGAACTTCATTATTTCAATGTTTCTTGGACATTTAGGCCATCTGATTTATGTTCTGATTGATGAGGATTGTAACAATAAACATCTGAACTTTAAATCTCTCTGTTGAAATAATGATGACAGTGCTTGTGGTGCTAGCAGTGATTATTGTAGTGCCATCAAGGCACATGTTGTTTTACAGTGAAATGGATTTATTGCGGGGAACTTATAAACTAAGATTAAGAGGGAGACGGAAGTTTAAAAAGATAGAAGTCTACACATTGAGTTCAGTTTCATATACTCATGGGCTTATTTTAGGCAAAGATGAAGACATTTTTATTCACTTTAAATATGATGGGGTCAATACTATTACATCAAATAAATGACATCTACAGATATTTTTTAAAAATGTACATGAACACCACATCTCCTAAAAGATAATACAAAATATTGGATTTATTTTCAATAACATGTATCCAACTAAAATTGTTCTGCCAATAATTTATTTCCCAGTACTGTATGAATTTCCAAAGGATGTCAAAGTGTGTGTGCATGTGTATGTATATGTGTGTAGATCTTGAATCCTTCCCTAGCTAAATTGAAAAAGGCATGTCAGCCTCAATAAATCTAGTGCAAACCAGCACATATTTAACTACTGCTGAATAGAAGGTTAGAGATTAAGGCTGTCATCCCCTGAATGTGAATTGTTCTTCTTCCTACCTCCTGCCCATAAAGACGATTAGATGCTCAAAGAGAGACAAAAAAATAAGTATAGACTACGGCCCCTGCTGCCCTGTCTTTTCCATCCAAGTTGAATCCTCCTCTCCACTGAAGCTTTACAATTCTTAGTACTCAAAAGCCCTCATCAGAAATTTGTTGGAGGGTGGATTATTCTGAGGTTGAAAGTGGACTTTCAGGGGAATGTATCTTCCTGTGGATTAATGTATTTTCCCCACAATGGATTTCCTTAGAGATATATGCCTTCGCAATTAGACTGAAAATTAAGCCCGTGTTTCTCTTCCACTGGCTAATCACAAAAAGGAGGCTAAATGCAAGATTTGTACTAAAGAAAAATCAGATGCAAGGAGAAACATACCCTTCTGCAAAACATTGTACTGAACGTCATCTGATTTAAGCTTTACCCATGAAAACAGATGGAAGTGCACTTCAGATCTGCCGCCTTCACTCTTAAACTGTTTAGAATGAAGACCTGTCTGTAACTGTGTCCATTTGCTGAACATGGTTACGTAGTCCCATCTGATGGAAATACATCATTATTGGGTTCCAAGTCATGTGGAATACCATAACTATGTTAAAAAGATTACACGTATATTCCAGTTGCAGTCCTTCCTTGGTAACACTGGAAGGTTGGGAATGGAGGAAAATGTGAGTGTGTGTCCGTCCATGACTCCTCTACACATACAATAGACTTCTCTTCAGCTACCATGAGCACAGTAGAGTACTAAACATTGGGTGAAATGGAAACAGGTGGGGCTTATAGAACTTGAGTAGAGCCCAATGAATTCCATATCCGATTATGAGTTGGATTATAGCCTTAGGTGCAGTATATATCTGTATAAATAAAAATGTAATGTTCGTTTGTGGGATTAACATAATTCAAAAACCACTAGATGTATTGACACCAAATTTGGACACAATATATCTATCAGGCCAGCAAGTGACCATCACTCAAAAATGATTTTGTCATTTGAGAGTTGTAGTTGCTGGGGTGTATATTTTACCAACAATCAAAGAGCATTCTGAACTCCACCAATGATGGAATTGAACCAAACTTGGCACGCAGAACTCCCATGACCAACAGAAAATACTGGAAGTGCTTGGTGGGCACTGACCTTGAGTTTTGAAGTTATAGTTTGCCTACACCCAGAGAGCACTGTGGACTCAAACAATGAAGGATCTAGACAAAAATTGGGCAAGAATACTCCATATGCCCAAATATGAACACAGATGAAGTTTGGGGAAAATAGACCTTGACATTTGGGAGTTGTAGTTGCTGGGATTTATAGTTCACCTACAATCAATGAGCATTCTGACCCCCACCAACTATAGAATTGGACCAAACTTTCCACACAGAACCCCCATGACTAACAGAAAATACTGTGTTTCCGGTGGTCTCTGACAACCCTTCTGACACCCCCCCCCCAGGGTCCCAACCCCCAGGATGAGCAATGATGCCTTAAGGCCAGCTAGTTCAACTCCCTTCACCAGGAAACATAACCAAAGCCCTCTTTTACTTTTCCAAATCACCACAGCAGCGCATGACAGGGAACGGCTAGTATGTGGTAAAAACCAACAGAAAGCTTTCCTGACTTGCATTCAGGAACTGCGTTTGCCATTAGGGTGGATTTACATTTTTCAATATTCCGCACATGAAAAAGACTTATCACATATAGATAATAGATGATGTTAGGAAAGAGCTAAATTGAACTGTCTTTCTGTCATACCATTTTTCTATGTTTTCACAGTTAGGTGGTGTGTTGTGACTTACTTTTTACATTATGACTACTACTTCTGCTCACATTAAATGTGAATTTTATGTGTTGATTGTTTTTAATGTTAGCTTCTCTTATGTACCTTATGGTAAAAACTGTCTTCTTTTATGCCTGTCTATGGTAGTAATAAACTATTGATTGGTATGTTTTCAGGGACATTTTGTGGTGGGGAGCAACCTTCAAACATGCAGCCTTCCTCACCACCGGGCAGCCTGAAATAGTTCGGTTTGACCCAGAGCAATAGTTCTTTACCTTCTTAAAATCCGTTTTCTTTTTGATGACATTTTTTTTTGTTTTCTCAGAGGAACTACAGGCTCTGGTGAAGAAGCTCCCAGTTGACAGATTTTTGAACATATCGGCCATCTCCCAGTACTGGGCAATGGATCTTGATATTCTGCATCGCTATCAGAAACTGGGCAACAACTTGAAGATGCTCTCCAAGAAGACCCATCAGATTGTCCGTCGCCTTTTCAACCTGGCAAAGCGCTGTCATAGGCAACCTCACTTTAGATTTCCAAAGGAGAGGTATGGTATATTTATAGGCGGCTCTGCTTAGGTCATAGTCTAATGCAAGGAAAGATTTAACCTAAATCCACTTCGCTAGTCTGGATCCTTCCAGGTGGTTTGGATTACAGCTCACAACATCCCTAATAAGAATGGAATGATGGGGGATCTAGTCCAGTATTTTTGAAAAGGTCCAGGCTGGAGAAGATTACCTGGAACTCATTGTTTAATGTGATTTTAACAGTGTCTGAACTCTGTGTTGGATTATTTCTGTTATCTGGGAATGGGGGTGAGTACTCCTGTGAAATATTTTATGAGAGAGCTGTGGTCTAATTTAGAACTTTAGAAGCCCTGAGCATCTTAAATATATTTTACGTGTGACATGTAATGTTGTGGTAGTTGAAATGAGGAAAGAAGAATAAGGGGCGGTTATTGTTGCGAGCTTTCAAGTAATTTCCGATTTATGTGGACCTTAAGACAACCCTATCATGGGTTTTTGTTGTTGTTGTTGTTTTTGCAAGATCTGTTAATAAGGAGTATAGTAGAAAGTAAGTTTGCACACATTCTTAGAAAGTAAGTTTGCACACATTTAAAGTTCTCCCATATATCAACAACATTCCCTGTATGTAGTAAACTAGATTATTGCCAATAGTTTTATAGATCAGTGATCTGATTATTATTATTGTATTTTTATTTACTTTATCCTATCTTTCTCTGATAGAAGGGATGTTTGTAATTGCAGAAGTCCATTAAATTAACTCTCTTCCTTTCTGCTCAGGCCACATGTAGTGTTAAATAGATTTGGTTGTACCCAAATCGATCAAGATCTATGTGAAATAAAGGGTAAACCAACCATGTATTAAATATGCAGGATGCAGCTGAGACTTTTTTTTTTACTCCCAAATGAGCATCCTGATCCAGATCAGACCTAATATTCATAGAGGGGAAGGATTACAACAAATGAATTGTTTTTTTCTTCTTTCTAGCTGGGAAATTAATTAATCTGGGAAATTAATTCAAGAGAATGTATATGGCCTGCCGATGTTTAGGGATTCTGTACTCGTGTACTCTGCTTAGGAGTAAAATAAAAAAGGCTCAAATATTAGGAAATCTGTGAAGAAAAGAGATTTATAAAACAAAATATTTTGAAATTCCACACTGGATATTTCAGTGAAAATACATAAAATGAATGCTAATGATTTTATATTTTTTAAAAATTAATTAAATGGAATGTGGATCTATTCAGTATTAAAGTCATTTCAAATCCTCCAAATTTCACAGACCAAAACCAAAACATGTGCAGCAAGAGAATATCAGATATGGACTCAAATCAAATAAAATCATTTATTTCGGTCATTGACCAGCACAGGAAATAGAGTCACATTTTCATGCAAACTTGGTATGTTTGGTACATTAAAAATATAAATATAACTACTGAAGCACAATATGAGTGAGGGAGCGGAAGGAGAAACAGGGTAAAGACATACAATGCCCAGATCCATCACCAAATTGTAGATTCAGGGAAGAAGATTACTGGACACACAGTTAACTTTTGGGACTCATTCCATTCCCTCATGGATGCCGAGGGCACGGTTTCCCCATTTTGGGTGGCTTCAGATTTTTGGCATGATTCTGTCTAATCCACTGAATTTTACAGGAATTTTCCTTCACTCCTAGTCTTTCATGTTTTGTCACTGCATCTTCCATCTTGTTTTCAAAATCCATGAAAAGGAAAGATAGAATGGCTATAAAGCAACTTTCTCAATTTGACCAATTCTGTGTTTCTTCTGTATGATTTCAGAGCTAACCTCTCTTTCTCTGTCTGCCTTTCTGACTGCAGGCCTTTGACCTACTGGTGGAACCGTGCCCAGTCCCTCCTATACTGCGGTGAGACCTCTATGCCAGGGACATTTGTGGAAGAAAGCCACAGTTGCATCTGCCCCCTTGACCAGCCCTCTTGCCAAGGCATCATTCCTTGTGCTGTGGGGGAGGGCCCAGAATGTGCAGCATGCTCAGAGGAGAACGCCACTCAGTGTGGGTCCTGCAATCCTGGCTATGTTCTCGCCTTAGGGCTCTGTCGCCCTGAGGTTGCAGAGTCCTTAGAACACTACTTGGGTCTAGAAACAGACCTGCAGGATTTGGAGCTCAGATACCTTTTGCAGAAGCGAGACAGTCGCATTGAAGTGCACTCTATCTTCATCAGCAACGACATGCGCCTGGGGACCTGGTTTGACCCTTCCTGGAGGAAGAGGATGCTGGTGACCCTGAAGAGCAACAAATACAAACCAAGCTTGGTCCACCTTATGCTGGCCCTCTCCCTTCAGATCTGCCTCACCAAGAACAGCACCCTGGAGCCTGTCATGGCTATCTATGTCAATCCCTTTGGGGGCAGCCACTCAGAGAGCTGGTTTATGCCCACCAATGAGACTGGATTCCCAGACTGGGAAAGGACTAACGTGGATACTTCTGGGCAGTGCCAAAACTGGACCCTCACATTGGGCACTAAGTGGAAGACCTTTTTTGAGACAGTCCATGTCTACCTGAGGAGCCGCATCAAATCTCTCAACGACAGCTCCAATGAAACCATCTTCTATGAGCCCTTGGACATGGACCCTTCGAAGAATCTGGGGTACATGAGAATCAACAGCTTGCAGGTCTTTGGCTACAGCCTGCCCTTTGAGTCAGATGCCATTAGGGACCTTGTCCTTCAGCTGGACTACCCATATACTCAAGGGTCCCAAGACTCTGCTATATTGCAGCTGATTGAGATCCGGGACCGAATAAATCGTCTCTCTCCCCCTGGGAAAATCCACCTTGATCTTTTCACTTGTTTGCTCCGGCACAGGCTCAAATTAGCCAGTAACGAGGTAAGTCGAATCCAGTCTACCCTGCAGGCCTTCAGTGCCAAACTGCCAAACCCAGTGGAATATGAGACTGGTAAACTATGTAGCTAGCCTTGGGAATGGGGCAGGGCTGTTCTGTCATCCCCGGGGAGAGGACTGGATATTGAAGCAGAGACTTCCCAAGGCCTTACTTTCATGCCAGTTGTGCGCTTCTGTGAGATAGTCATTGGTCGGCTCAGAAGACTCCAATGTTTACAGGTTACATGGTGCCAAACCTGGAAATTAATTATTGCACAAATCTCTGGAACCTAACAAAGAAGAAGCCAATTGCAGTGCTTACATTGCTGTAAAGAGCTGGCTTCAGTTGCTTGGACAGGTGACAAAGTTTCATTTCCTGTGGTGGAATGTGCAAGAAAATGGACAGGCCCATGAAGAAACGTGAAGTCGTTGGCAGCGTAAAGAATTGACTGATGAGAGAAAAATGACTGATGGCAGAGTTCTAAAAAGACTTCAGTTTTGTGATCAAACAAAAACCTAAAACGGAGATGGAAGGAAAGAGCAGAAGGGTTGGACATCATTCTTGCAAGTGCTTCAAAAACACCCACTTTGGAGAACTTTTCTTTGGCCCTTGCCTCCCTTGGCACAGTTTACTTTTGTATTGTTTTTATGGGTGTTTCTTACAATAGCATTACCATCACATTCTCCATGTTCCTATCTAAAGCTGTCATCCTAAGCACACTTTCTTGGAAATTATCTCCACCAGTGTCAGTGGGAGTTGTTTCTCTCAAAGTAATGAATTTAGGAATGGCGTGAAAACCTTTGATTTTAGCTTGTTTCATATTTATTTCTGTTTGGTTCACTGGCCCATTTTAGCAGGTGGGTGGTGAGATCTATCCAGAAATTGGCAGGACGTAGCATTTGGGATATGAAAAGTGTCCTGGAATTGCCCTTTTCTCCAATCTGTCAACAGGGAATATTTTACAACCTTTTGTCCCTTCATATCATGTGATCCATGCACACCTAACCAATTTCACCAGTGGGAAGTGGCACTCATCTTCATTTGTCACACAGGCAGTTGTTAAATATGTATTTGGAGCCCAATGGATGATTGGCCTTTATTATTTACTTATGTATTGGTTTTGATTTGTTGGTTTTTAAAAAGTATTCTACTTTGGCATTTTGTTATTTGGAATGGGATGATCTATTCTAGTTAATTGATCCAGTTGAGTTAACACATGTTAGCCAAATGTATGTTTTACTATATTTTGTAAAGGAGTGGGGAAGAGAGAAAATGCCTTTTTGGAAGAAAAAAAAAAGAAAGCAGTAAACAATCAAAATCCTCTAAATGACTTTATTAATAGATGCAGTCTGTGTGGTCTGTGGGTTGACATGTTGTGTGTCCATAAGGGGGTGAGTTTTCATTCATGCCCCTAAAAAGTACTCTGCTAACTCAGTAGAAATTTAGTAGTGAAGCTCTTCATTTCTCCTGGCATCTCTCTGCACTGGCAGTGCAGACAATTATTACTATTATGTTTATTTATGCGGCAATGCAGCAAAGATGGAGCACTCTCCAACTGTGGGCATGAATATCTCTATACTTGGCCCAGGAAAGAGATACAAAATGATAGGTCTGAAATGAAAGATTTAAAAATAGAAATTAGAAGATTAGCATTTTCCAATACACCGTGCTCTTCCTGCAAGTAGATCAAAATGACAATGTAAACTTGAGGTATGGAAAAGAAAGATGGTGGCTTCCACATATAACTATGTGGTAAAGCAGGAAGATTTTGTTCTGATAGCAATCTAGTTCCAGGGATGGGAACAACTGGAATAAAATGCTGGATAAATCAACACAAGAACATTGCTCTTCCCATTTTCCAAATATTCTCCAGATAACCTCCTGTTTCCCTTAGTATTGGTAGCTGAAAGGAAACCCTAATAATAATAATAATAATAATAATAATAATAATAATAATAATAGCCCGAAAAAACCCACAAGAACTGAATAATAATACACTTTATTTATATTCCATCCTTCTCCCCTAGGGGACTTAGACCGGATTACAGCATTTACATACATAGGCAAACATTCAGTGCCTTTGCAATCATACAATGAGGCACACAAGCACAAATAAAGGCAGAGGCTTCTCCTTTCATTCCGGCTTCTGGAGGCGGTGCTCATCTCTGGCTCTGGAGAGGTGTTTTTCTTCAATTTCAAGGTGAGGAGCCTGTGTTGTCACCTCCTGGTTGTGTGGACAGCAAGATTGCTTGAAACGTCTCTTTGCCTTTTCCTTCTGAAACGATACCTATTTATCTACTCACATTTCGAACCGCTAGGTTGGCAGGAGCTGGAGCTGACAGACGGGGGCTCACTCCATCTTCAAACTGCCAACCTTCAGGTCAGCAGTTCAGCAGCACAAGGATTTAACCCATTGCGCCACCACAATGGCAGAGATCAAACACCTGCCAGTTCAACATCAGAGTTAAAGTTATCTCATTTGGGTCATGATCCACAGAACAAACAAATTGCTGTGCTGTTGCCTTGATGCCCCCATGACCTTCTGGCAAACAAACTAGTCCAGTGTGGGCTAGGCAAAATTATGGTGAGGTGGATCTGTAATTGGTTAAATGGACGAACCCAGAGGGTGCTCACCAATGCTTCCTCTTCATCCTGGAAAGAAGTGATGAGCGTAGTGCCACAGGGTTCCTTCCTGGGCCCGGTCCTGTTCAACATCTTTATTAATGACTTAGATGAAGGGCTAGAAGGCATGATCATCAAGTTTGCAGACGACACCAAATTGGGAGGGATAGCCAATACTCCAGAGGACAGGAGCAGGATTCAAAACGATCTTGACAGATTAGAGAGATGGGCCAAAACTAACGAAATGAAGATGCTTGCCATAGATGCAGGCGAAACGTCAGGAGAAAAATTGCCTCCAGAACATGGCCATATAGCCCGGAAAAACCTACAACAACCCAGTGATCCCGGCCATGAAAGTCTTCGACAATACATTTAACAAAATGAAGTTCAACAGTGACAAATGCAAGATACTCCACTTAGGCAGAAAAAATGAAATGCAAAGATACAGAATGGGGGAAAATGCCTGGCTCGAGAGCAGTACGTGTGAGAAAGATCTTGGAGTCCTCATGGACAACAAGTTAAACATGGGCCAACAATGTGATGTGGCAGCAAGAAAATCAAATGGGATTTTGGCCTGCATCAATAGGAGCATAGTGTCTAGATATAGGGAAGTAATGCTACCCCTCTATTCTGCTTTGGTTAGACCACACCTGGAATATTGTGTCCAATTCTGGGCACCACAGTTCGAGAGAGATCTTGACAAGCTGGAATGTGTCCAGAGGAGGGCAACTAAAATGATCAAGGGTCTGGAGAACAAGCCCTATGAGTAGTGGCTTAAGGAGCTGAGCATGTTTAGCCTGAAGAAGAGAAGGATGAGAGGAGATATGATAGCCATGTATAAATATGTAAGAGGAAGCCACAGGGAGGAGGGAGCAAGCTTGTTTACTGCTTCCTTGGAGATTAGGACAAGGAACAATAGCTTCAAACTACAAGAAAGGAGATTCCATCTGAACATGAGGAAAAACTTCCTGACTGTGAGAGCCGTTCAGCAGTGGAACTCTCTGCCCCGGATTGTGGTGGAGGCTCCTTCTTTGGAAGCTTTTAAACAGAGGCTGGATGGCCATCTGTCAGGGGTGATTTGAATGCAATATTCCTGCTTCTTGGCAGGGGGTTGGACTGAATGGCCCATGAGGTCTCTTCCAACTCTGATTCTATGATTCTATGATGCTCTGTAAGTCATGATATTGCACACAAGAAGAACAAAGTGATCCTAGTATGGATTTGCATCTCAATCAAGAGATAAAAAGTGTAGCAACCACAACAACAGTAATGGACTTTTCTTGACAACATATATATATTCCCAATTGAAAATTATTTCCATCTTGAATATGAAAACAATTAAATGTGTTGGTGAATTTTTAGCAAAAATGAGCTGACACAAAATTTTCATTCACACCTATATTTAACCATCTCAACATGTAGCAAGATCCAAAATTTACCCAAAGCTGCTCCTTAGCAAGGCTTCCTTTCTGCAAGTTAAATCTCTTTAAATTGCATCTTGAAATTCTTGAGAGCTGCTGAGATTAGCAATTAAGCTGCTCCCTTGACTGATGCCAGAGTTCCTAAAAATATTACTGTTTGGCCACAAATCCCAGTTATTCCCCTACAGTACACAACTGCTGCACTTTGGGTGTGCATGCCAAAAATGACCCGCATCCGTCACTCTGCCAGGCGGTTGTGTGCTCTTGCTTGTTGTATCCTTGTAATACGCACTTGCTGTTTGTTCCAGCTACACCCCAAGAGAACTCACCTGCCTGCCATGAAATTGAACACAGCACTGAGTCCAATTAAAATTCTCTAAGAACAGTTAGAGGGAAAAATGCTTTCCGTGCTGTTTGTTGAATGTGCTTGCCTTATCAGTCCCAGCTCTTCCAATGGAATCATAAGGGATCCTGAAAGATCATCATAGGATGTATCATAATTAAAGCCAGCCTGAGTGACAGCGGCTTGGCCTTTTCTTGGAAACTGCCGAAATATGGGCATCAACACAGTTTCTTAAAGGCTCTGTTGCTGAATTAATGTTTTAAATCAGAGGTGGCTAAGTGACAGCTATGGGCTCTATACTTAGTCCCTGATCTAATTCTACCCAACTCTTCTTATTGTTTGTACCACACTGGAAGAATATGTTTCTTTGTTTGTGATATTAAGTTCATTTTGATGACCAACATGCTTCCAGAGGAGCACACCACACACACACTAAGGCAAGGGTCCCCAAACTAAGACCCGCAGGCCAAATCCAGCACCCTAAGGTTTTTTTAAAGATATTTCATTATGTTATACACACAGATCAATAAGCCAAATTCCAAGTGTTACACATATAAATCCTGAGTAATTCAACAAATATTAAAAACATTATGCTAATTTACACTGGTGTATATTACATTATCTCCACCTTCCCTCCCTCTCCCACTTCAACCACAGTATATTTCTACTAATCTTGCAGATCCAGCCACTGGTAGAGTCTTTGTATTTTTTTTCTTTGATGTGATCGTTGGCTCCTCCATTTTTCACCCAGTTGAAGTAGACCTTCCATCTATTTGTAATGATCTTTTCTTTGTCCATTCTTGGTGCTTGCTTAGTCATAATTCCCGTAATATCTAACAGCACTTGGTCATACATATAATCATTCCAATTACTTAACGTCCATTTCGATTTGTCTTTCCATCCTCCAGCAATCACCGCATGGGCTGCTCTAATTGTTACCTTAAATAACTCCTGGCAATTAATTATTATACTCGGATGATCCAATACTCCCCATAGTAGCAAATCATTATTAATTTGAATTTTTATCTGGAATATCTCCTGAATTTTTCCTTGTATCATTTGCCAGAATTTTTTTATTTCAGAACACTCCCACCACATGTGTGAATAAGTACCTTTTTCTTTATTACAATGCCAACACTTTGGATTTTTCCTTTTACCATATAAGCCAATTGTTCAGGAGTTCTATACCATCTTAATATCTTTTTTCTAATTCATTATATTTTTCTATTTTTATTTTATTCATGTTCCTAATTATTTCCTCTATTTCTTTTGTCTGTAATGATTTAACTCCATTCCATTTGTTACTTATTGCTCTAATCATAAACTGTTTATCTTCTACCATCTATATATATAAAAATGCTCTGTGCGTAATGAGTACCTTAAAAACAAAAGAACCAAGGAATGAAATCACACCAATTTTGGCAACAAAACATCTCACAACACAAGGAGTGACCATCACTCAAAAATTTATGATTTTGTCATTTGGCAGTTGTAGTTGCTGGGATTTATAGTTCACCTACAATCAAAGAGCATTCTGAACTCCATCAACAATGGAATTGAACCAATCTTGGCACACAGAACTCCCATGACCAACAGAAAATACTGGAAGGGTTTGGTGGGCATTGACCTTGAGTTTGGGCATTGTAGTTCACCTACATGCAGAGAGCACTGTGGACTCTGGACCAAACTTGGCACAAGCACTCAATACGCCCAACTATGAACACAGATGGAGTTTGGGGGAAATAGACCTTGACATTTGGGAGTTGTAGTCACTGGAATTCATAGTTCACCTACAATCAAAGAGTATTCTGAACCCCACAAACGACAGAATCGGAGCAAACTTCCCACACAGAACCCCCATGAACAACAGAAAATACTTAAGGCCACCCAGTTCAACTCCCTTCACCAGGGCATAATAAAACCCCTCCTGACAAAGAGCCATCCAGCCA